AGGTAATAGGAAATCATCAATGGTTACCATAATGTCTCTTGTCATCAAAGTAGCTGCCCATACCTTCAGACATAGTGAAATCAAACAAAACAGAAACAGAGTAGAACTTATGAAAACAAAACAATGAATGCAGTGTGGGACTTCAACACAAGATAATAGTGAATCCACAATGGCTACCATAAAGTATCTTGTTATCTTCAAAATAGCTGCCCATGCCCATGCTAAAATGAAACAAGACAAGACAGGATAAAACTCAAACAAAGAAAACAATGAGAATGATAGAGGATTTCAAAACAAGATAATGTGGGATTAACCATGACTACCACCTTCAGAAGGAGACTTCTTAGGTGCTACATTGCTTATTGTTATCCTCTGGATAGACACTCAGACTGCTGGGTTTAGACCTGCAGAGTCAGTGAAACACTAAGTACTACTAGCATTAAGTTGCATTTTACCTCATTAGCTGCCATCACAGCCAGTGTTTCTACAGATCAGCAGGTCACTTACTGTGGGGAGGTGCATTGGTTCTTCTTGTCTTCCTGCCCCCATGCAGTAAGGAGCTGGCATCTGGCTCTCCTCCAGTCAGCCCTTGGTGGCGCTGACTCATGGGAGATCTTAGCTTCTTGTTGACTTCTAGTTCTCCTCCACTGCAAATGGCTTAGTTCTCAGTGGGATTATCAGAATCACTTCCTAAGTATACCAGAATGTCCTCTCCTAGCCTCTTTGAAAATTCTGATTATATACCTTTGGGTTAAAAACTACTGCCCCACACAAGCCTAACTTCTCCCAAAATTGTGTGCTGCTATATTGTGTAATTCAGAGTCTTCAGGATGTTCTTTTCTTAATATGGGGATGGAACTCAGGGCCTTTGCATGGAATTATACCCCGTACATTTCATTTTTTGTTTTGAGACAGGGTCTCCTTAAGTGACTAAATTGCTTAGGGTGGGTTTGAACTTTCAGTCCTCTTCCCTCAGCCTCTGAGGGAGCTGGAATTGTAGGTGTAAGACACTATGCCTTGCTAGCTTTCAGGAATTTCATGTTTTTAAAATATATAGTGTGCCAAAGATGTGAAGTCTACTAAAAGAACAATGGTGTATCATACTGAGTTGATTTGTGTGGTATTTATATTTATATCTAGTAATACTGTTGGCTTCCATTCAGGCCCCAATCAATGAGATTTTACTTTATTGCTACATAGGCATAGGAACATGGGCTAAAAAATGTCAACTATTTTTTTTTTTTTTTTTGTCTTTTTCCTTTTTATCGGTACCAGGGATGTAACTTAGGACTGCTTGCTTGCTATGCAGGCACTTATGCCGCTGAGCTAAATCCCCAGCCCCAAAAATGTGAACTATTGAGTAAATTCTCCTGCTCAAAAAGAGACCTGTGGTTGATAGTAGAGTAGGCTTTCTTTTTTTTTTTTTTTTTTTGTTAAGATGTAAGCCTTTGATCTGGAACAGCTTTTGAACATGTGTCCTGTTGAAACAGAAGCTCTGGGGTCTTGTGGGGAATCTGATTATTAGGCAAAATCTCAAGATATTTAGGAGCGTAAGGAACTTGATATTTGAGAAACACTGCCAAGGTGAATGCTGTGAAAATAAAGCATAGGTCTGAAAACAAGAGATCCAGTGAGGTCAGGTAATCCAGGGCCAGCTAAGTTGCAATTCCAGCTAAGTACGGATTTCTTCAAGTTAAAGGAGGAAATAACAGAAATTCTGTTTTTTTATTGCCTGACTCCTCTGGGAGAGGTTACAGTGTTGGAACGCACATTGTCTTGTGGAAATCCTCACAGATCATTTTCCTGGGGTGCAGCAAGAAGGGAGATTGAACTACTTTGTAATTTCATAATTGTGGAAACCCTGTTTGTGGTTTAGCAAATTCTTTTTTTTAAATCAGCAAATATGTATCACTACGGACCCACATGGCAGCTCAGCACAAGACCTCAGGGCTCATGTTCTTGAGAAGTTGCATGGAGACCTGATCAAAAGCACTGAGTGCGTGAATCTAAAAAGTGATTACAGTAGCACAGAGGTCCCCAACCTTTTTGACATCAGAGAGTGGCTTCATGGGATAAATTTTCCAAAGAGTGCAGAGTCGGAGATGGTGTGAGGTGACTCAGAGGAGCAGCACTTAGCTCCCTCTTTACAGTGCACACTAGGACTCCTACTGCTGGGAGGATGGAACTGAGCTGCTGTCCTGAGGGAAGCATGACCAGGCAGGCCGTGAGCAGTGGGAAAAGGCTGTCAATGCAAGGAAGCCAGGCTCTCTGCCTTGGGCTCACCTCCTGCTGGGCAGCCTGCTCCCTAAGGGGTGATGCTGCCTGGCCTGGCCCTGGGCTGGCCTTTGAGGGCCTCTGAAAAGACACATTGCCATGAACCCTTTTGCCTCCAGCACACTTAGCCATTGTCTCTCCCACTTTCTGAAGCAGTTTTGCAAGTCCTCTTTCTTGTACACACACGTTTTCACATGTGCACACACTCACATGGGTTCACACTTCTCAGGGTGATGATTAGTATTTGTATTGTTTCACTGCCACCTTTGTTTTAATCCAACATTAAATTACATCCATTCACCATCAAGTTAACATTCCAACCTTGATTCACTTGGCAAGAGTCAGTTTTTATGCCAATATGTGTGCTGAGCCCCATGACCTCTCCAGAGGGGCTGGGTGACCCAAGTATTATGGGTTTCCGTGTTAGTGAGCATTGCAAAGCCATCAGCTCTTATTTCTGTTTTTGTTCCAGTCAACACCACTGACCTTCATCTAATGCTGTGTGTATCACATGCTCACAGGGGCCAGAGGTTAAAAGTAGGGACAAGAGATACAGGAAAGGTGTGGGAAAGCAATTTGTAATGTATCAAGTATCTAAAATTAGTAGAGTCCCTTAATTAAAAAATATAATAAGGGAAACTGCTGTTTCTTAGTTTTTAAATGTTTAACAAGTGAGATGGAGTATTTCCTAAAATATATTTTATAATTATTTTAAAAATATAATTGATACCTTGGTACATTTCATCCACATTTCTGAGCTCCCTTTCTATGGGTGAAAAAAAATGAGAATGATTTAGAGTTTTCTGATGAATAGAAGATAGAGGGGCGCCATATTTTCCTGACACATATATGTATTTTTCCCACTCATTATCACTGAGGTTGGTGGCTGGCCTGGTTTGCCTGGGAACATCTTGATTTTAGCGCTGAAACTGCCCATGTCCCAGGAAATTCCTAAGTTCTAAAGCAAATCAATCTGGTTGGATACTCTAAATAAACCCATAATCATCTTGATTAGTCAGATGTATTTCTAAGGTAATATTTAATTCTCTGTGATGGGTCATTGTTGGATGGAAATTTATAGCTTTGTCTGAAATACACACATGCACACACACACATACTTATATACATAAATATATATACACACTTTGTAGTAACAGTACAGAGTTCTAAAATGAGCTTGGATGCCTGTTTAACTGACCTAGAACTTGAGTGCTGGAAGGATCGTTAACCTTTTTTTTTATCCGGCACTGATTTTCATAAAGAAAATAACTAATCCTCAGAGAAGGTGGTTTATTTACTGCCTGTGACCATTCAGGAGGTTAGAGGCGGATCCAGAATGTGAACCCAGGCCCCCTTACTCTTGATCATTTACTTTTCCTGTGTATGGAATATGTCTGAAAGGTGGTTTAGCCTCCTCCTTCTTCTTTTCTTTTCTTTTATTTTTCTTTTCCCTGGTACTGGTGCTTGAACCCAGGGCTTCTAAAATAAGTTACATTTTCAGCATTTTCCGTTTAATTTGCCCAGGATCACCTTGAAATTGTGATCTGCTTGCCTTAGCCCCCGAGAGGCTGGGATAAAGGCAGGCATGAGCTTGCATGGAAAATAGAGCGGCCCAGTCCCAGAGAGACACTGATGCCCTTGGCTTGCGCTGCATTAACTTCTCCCTGGCCCTCCTCTGTGTGCGGTGATCAGTGAACACTGAGGAGCAGTGGCAGAGCCTTCTTGCCCCTGGGGAGGCCTCTGCCTCTTGTGGCCACAAATACCATCCACACAGAGAAGGAGGTTCAGGCATGTGTGTATTCCTATGAAGCAGTGCTGTGATTTTGCTATTTCTGTTAATATTTGTAGCTTAAAATACTAAGCAGAAAACAGCATTTGCTGATTGCCTTCTGTGAACTGGAAGAGGGGCACATAAATGGTGCTCGGTGCTCCCTCTGAAAGACTTGCAGCACTGTCTGAAGCCCATATTTTATTTATAAATTAAGCTCAGAATTCTGAGCCAGCTTCTGCATCTTCCATCTGTTCTGTGATATCTCTTCTATCAAATCAGGAAAAAACAAACAAACAAACCTAAAAACAGAATCTTAAATTTAAAATGAAAAATCCGGAACCGAAGTCAGTATTTTCACTGAGAGAAGCTATTCCCGATGGCGATGGCTTTCTTAAAGTGGGGGAACCCTTCCCTTCTTGATGAACTGCAGCATTACGAGAGCACCTTTTTTTCTCACAGAGCTTGAGCAAGTCTAAAGACTCAGCTCCAAGGACCCAGTTGAAGAAGGAGATCATTAGGGAATTGTTCTGAGGTCTAGCTTCTGTTTCTTGACTAAATGAATTAATGGGAACGTTTCAGTCCATTATGTCTCTCTTCCCACTGTATAGCAGAAGTCCTGTAATTCAGCTATATTTCATATACTGGGATGATTAAGGCGATGAAGAGAATGTTAACTGCACCAGTGTCTGTTTAATTTTAGTTGAAGACTCTCCCATTGACAGATCTTGGTGCTGTGACCTCTTTGGAATTAAACAGTGCCAGCTGATGATGTCTTTCTCACCATACAGCTCTGGCTCAGAATATCTAGAGGAGAATGCTTTGGTTTGGATCAGTGTGGGAGAGGTCAGCTCCCCTTGTGAGTGAACAACAGTCCAACCTCCAGGGCTGCAGGCTGCATAGGGCCTCTGGAGCTGTGACTGGGCTCATGATTACCACTTGTGTCTTCTCCATCAAGGGCGTCATCCAGGACGGAAAGATCATCTTCATGCCAAATGGATACATAACACAGTGTCCAAACCTCAATCGCAGTAAGTAGCACCTGAAGCACTTGCGAGTTTTAAATGGTGCAAAGCTTGCTCATGGGATCAGAGAAACAACCTCAGGAGGGCTCAGGTAGAAGCCCGTGCTGGCTTCTGGGACTGTGAGGGTCCTGGAAGAAAACTCGTTATCTGTATTGTGTGCTTCTGTGTCTCTGAAGTTTTAAGAAGGTTTTCTTCTATACAACATTAACATTTGGATGTAGGAAAAGGGTTGTGTTAATCGGTTCTGTGTAAGACAGATTATGTATCAGTGTTATGTATATGTGTGTGTTTTAAATACTACTATTACATCAAACTTTTTTAAGCCTCTAGACCTAGATATGAACTCCCTTTTTCTCTCTTATAATACTTTATATTTTTTCCCGTCACCTCTCTATCAAAATGAGGGTTTGATTTTGAAATGTCATGTGGCCTTTTTAGTCAACAATCCCCTTTTCCTGTTTCTTTCTTTTTCTTATGAATAAAGAAAAAGATCCAGGCCCGAAATCCTCTCTGACTTCACCCAGATTTTACCCAAAAGAACAGAAACCCTCCTACCATCAAAAGTGGTTAAGATGTTTTAAAAAGTTTTTTCTTACATTAGCACAAGATCAATATATATTTTTTATTTTCTTCATTGAGCTTGCCCTACCTGCAGTGATTTCTTAAGCCTGGTGCAAGGAATCATGGATTTACAAGAGCTTTTGGCCAAGATGACTGCAAAAGTAGGTATCTGAATTTCACTTGGGATGTTCATTTCTTTTCCTGTCATATTGAGAGCTTAGAGTGATCTGTCACGATGGAAACATTTTTACCATTGGCACCTGCAATATATTACAACAAGAATGTTTTATTTTCTGCTGAAATTGGACTTCCTCTAGTAAGCATTCAGGCCTTTGATGCTATTAAGCTGCATCTAAATGTTGTTCTTGAAAAATATTTGGAAGCAAGAGGCAATCTGTATTACTATAGATTCCCTAGGAGAGGAAAAAGAATTTGCCCAATGGCTATTAAACAGGAAACACTGTAAGATGATACATGGTGAGAACCACTGCTGCTTATAAAAGTCAATGCATTTTAGATGTAGGAATTATTGCCAACAATCATGAGGAGGAAAACTAGCTGCCATTAGAATCAGATCACTGTGCTAGGAAGACCTCACCTAGGCTCTATTTCATGACTGATCCTAAGTTGAACAAGGAAGAAACATTTGCCTTTTAACACTTTCAGCTTTTAAGATTCTGCATCTTTTCTTCCTCTCCATCACCCAAGTAGTGAACATCTTGGGAGAAACTTCTATCTGCCAGTCACTGTATTAGGCTTCTAGCTGCACTGATGAGCAAGGCCTGACTTCTGCCTCAGAAGTGGCTGCAGGGTGTGGTGGTGCCAAAATTTAAGTAGTTAGAAGCTTTGGTGTCTGTTCATGAGGTGTAGATTCATGATGAAAACCCTGGATTGAAAAAGTAGAGAATGTGGCTGATGCTGTTAGGATACCAATTAGCTATGAATGTGGGTTTGGCCTAGGTGATGAGAGCATTAGGGTGAGCCTAAGAGATGTTATGTTCTGCCAGAGGAAGAATTTTAATAGCAGCAAAGATGACACATTTATTCTCTTCTACTTGGGCTCTGACTGCCTTCTCCCTTCAGGCAGGGCAGACAGACAATACTTGGAGGGTTGCCCAGTGATTAGGAGACAGGGCTTGTGTTGGATTCATAGGCTCTGCCCCAGAAGACAGTGTTTTCACATAGAACTGGAAGTTTGGTCAAACCCAGTCCCCTTTTTTCTGGGAGGTAGAAATGGGATATTTTTGCAAAGAGAAAGATGGAGTCTGGAGCATGAGAGTGAAGTGTCCGCCTTCCACTGCACAGTGCTGGAGAAATGTGAAGGCGGGCAGGTGTCGGCCCTCCCATCCTGCGGCCTGTGGAGGCTTTTATTATACATTGTCTGGAGCGGCCGATCTCGATGCTGTTAGTTATATTTTAGCATGCTACAGATTTTGAAACCAGAAACATGTGACTCAATAGCAGGCAATTGACGGTCTCCGCAGGCTCCGAGGATGCCCTTTTCTTTCTCTTTATGGGGAACCATTTTTCTCTTTTAGGTGTACATTATCTAGAAGCTGCAGTGAGCTCCATCCTCAGAGCACTATAATGTAAAATGGGCACTGGAGAGTCAGAAAGTATTTAATTGTGGGACACAAGGAGCAGAAGATGGTTTAATCTGCTTCCTGAACCCCACCTTCCTCCCTCTGGCATTTTGGCAGACTTGGAGTCTGTTCCTTCCAAACTGTGAAGAGAATTGTAATTCTATCACTGAGTACTTCAATTTTCACTGCATAATTTGTATCTGTGGTGATCCCAAGCAGGAATTGTAAACAAAAAAAAATTTTTTTCTATAAATTGCCAGCCAGCAAACACTGGGCTTTTTAAGTTAAGCAAAATTGAGCGTATTATGTGTGTAACTATTTCTTTTAAATGAAGTTATTTATAATTGGTGAAAACAAAATCATTGAAAAACATAAAAACTATTCTTAGCTCACAGGATGTTCAGGAGCAAGTGATAAACCAGACTGGGACCGTGAGCTTCTGTTTGTCAATCTTTGACTTAGAAGGAACTGGATAGTCACTCAGATGAGCCATACTTACTGAACATTTTGCATGTGTTAGTTCCAACCCCTAAGCATTTTAAATCAATTCTCACAATAATCTTGTAAGCTGAGTTTATTGTGCTACTTTGAGAAGGCCATGGCCCAGAAAGGTCGCTTTCTACAGGATTGTAAATAGCAGAGCTGGGACCTGAATTCAGGTACTTAGGTTCTGAAAACTGATGTGACTGAGGAAGTTTATGGGTGGAAAAAGGAGAAATTAGAAAGAAAGTTAGAATCCATAAAGTGCTGCTAACTGTAGCGTGAAGGAGGTGGCTGTACTAACACGAGGCTGGAGATCGGAGAGGAATGAGCAAATAAAACAGGCAAAGAGCAGCGCCTGTGTGATGGCTTGTGGAGCTGAGCTAGATTTCAGTGACTCCCTTTGGGAGTGAGAACAGAGCTGGCAGCAGCTCCTCAGGAAGGAAAGTCCAGGAACAAGGCCTTGCACCTCGCCTTTTGGCTCTGAGCTGCTTGTTTACCTTGGAAAGCTGTGGGAGGTCTGTAGTCTTGGGTGACACTGGGTGTGCTCTTGCCAGTTCCACTTGGGCACACCACACACTGTGTCATCTGACTGCTGAGAATCAGTCCTCAAACCTGGGAGAGGCATGTGACTCCTCAGGGAAGAATTTTTAAGAATTCTAAGGGAGGATTCCCCCCAGCATCCTGCCCTGCTGTAGCTGATACTCAGACCTGAACAGAAAAGGTTCTCTCTGTGCTTTGTGCAAGGCTTATCTCCTTTGTGTTAACGTTAAAACAGGGTACAGCCTGGGGATCCCCCACTTTCCTGTAGGAGCTTCTTTTAAGACCCAGTTCTTGGGCTGATCTCTTTTGAGTCTGCTCCCCACATCTGCACAGTCTTCAAGATAAAAGCTTATGAACAGGATGGAGGTGGGCTTTGGTGCTTGCTTGGGTCTTGGGATCTCTGCTGCCACTTTCTGTTGACCTCTGTGCTGTTCTTCCTTTTGTGTTAGCTCTGTGATGCTTTCCGGAAGTTTCTGTTCGCATACCGAATGTGGTATTTTGCTCAGTTAGTTGCTAACACACTTCTCACTGTCTAGTCTGCCATGTTGGTGGAAGTGGAAGCCTAGCTCACCCTTCTGACAGATTGAAGGCTGCAGAGCTGGAGATGTGAGGCACAGTGCAAGCCAAACACTGTTTCCTGGTGGAGAGGGAACTCTATGGCACCGAGTCCTTCTGGACTTAGCCCTGCCATTAGTTAAGTAAAGCTATGGAGGCAAGATTGAGGTGATGGGGTGGAGCTGGGTGTCGGAAGTTTGGTTAAGTTGTCGGGTGGCCTCGACTGAGGTAGGCGTGCAGTCATGGATCATGATGGAGGTAGGGAATGGGCTTTGGAGCCAGTCTGGTCTGACTTAGAGACTTTTTTTTACGATTGCGTGTTTTAAAGTCACAGCCTTAGACAAGTTGTTGAATTGGTAGCTGCCACCTCCTCACCCAGGGAGTGGTGATAACCATTTACTCGGGACCAGGTAAATGAAATTCTGTGCAAAACTCACCACAGCCATTGGCCAGCGGGTGGCTGCTGTGTTTATAGTACTGAACCAAGGGCACCGAAGGGAGAGTGTGAAGGAAAGATGGTCCTGAGAAATTGTGCCCTTTCCTGTGGCTTGGCATCACACAGATTGGCAGAGACTGCAAGTTGCTGTCAGGTAGTTGGTCTAGAACCAGTGCGGAGAAGTCTCAGGAAACAGCAGAAAGACCTCAGGCTTAAGTCCTGCTGGACATTGTGAAGCACTACTAGTAAGCAAGCTCAGGGTGCAGGCTGGACAGGAGTCTGCAGCCAGAACCACGTCAAACCTAAAGATAGAAGCTGAGTGTGGTGACACAGGCTTTCAGTCCCAGCACTTGGGAGGCTGAGGCAGGAGAATTGCTGTAGTTTGAGGCCAGCACAGGCCACAAAGTGAGTTCAAGGGTAGCCTGAACTGCATAGTGAAGCCGGGTCTCAAAACAAACAAATATAACAGAAATGTCCTATCAGTCCAGGAATCTGTCTAGAATTGCCCACTCTGCCTTTTTTCTGTAAGGGTCAAGGATGCCAGTTCCCATTCACTGATATTCCAGTGACAGAGGTGAGGCTAGGACAAGGCCTTTTGAGAAATCCTGACATTTTTTTTTTTTTTTTTTCATTTTGATCGGTACCAGGGATCAAACTCATGACTGCCTGCTTACAAGGCAGGCACTTATGCCGCTGAGCTAAATCCCCACCCCCCAGAAAGCCTGACATTTTTGACAAAAACTGCACACTTTCAATGCTGAGAAGGTGCACGACTGTGACCTAAAGTAGCAATGCTGCCTGAGGTTGTTAGCTGACAATTTAATCCCCCAGAGGCTACTGCTCCCCCGGTTTACTCTGACATTCCCTCAAGTGGGCCGAGCTGTCCCCCTGCCAGCCAGGAGGACTGTGATAGCCTCAGGTCATTGGGTCCCGCTCCTGGATCCAGCTGTGCCGAAATGGCATTGTGCCCTCAAACTCACAAAGAGGGCACTTGAGAAACTGGAAAAATTTTACATTATTGTCATGTGTAAATCTTTGATAAATCTATGTGGGCAAGTCACGGAGCGCTTCGAGCAGCAGGCTTTTCGGCTTTCACATATTTAATCTTGAGCTTTCCAGTATTTTGGAGGGCTCAGTCATAACTCAATGATGATTGTGTAATTGAACTTAAAGGTTTAACAGCAGCAGCAGCAGTATTTTTCCCTTCTATGTAGCAAACATGAAATAAAGCGTATTCCAAAGGAGGAAAAGCAATTTCTGCATGACTGATACACTCAGATCCATTCGCTGTCCTCTTACTGTGCAAGAGGCCGCCTCTGCGTAGCTTTGAAGGTGGAGAGTGAAGAATAAGTATTCAGTCCCTGGCTTCCAGATAAACACGGGACAAAGGTAAACAGAGCAGAGATGTAGATGTCATACCATATCTGTTTTGGACCTGCCAGTCTCAGAAAATGGCAGGCAGTGTAGAAATAGCTTTTGAAAATGAATTAGTATAAATTCAATGCACTCATGCCAGTGACAGAGAATGTAATTTAGTTTTTGATTCAGAGTTCTTTTTCTCTATTATTGTTATAGGATTTAGCAGGAGCAAAGGAAGGCAAGATTGCATATTAAATGCCTTTGAGAAATTAGTTTTTTGCCTTAATATGCTTTTGCCTCTGTATCTGTCTGACATAGATATTATTATAGAGATTAAGGCTTTTCAGTATTGTCAAAAAAGCTAAATACATGTAAAATTTTAAAAATCCATTATGTTGAAACTGCGGTTTTCCTCAGGAATTGAGTTATAGATGAACATAGCTCAGCTTTGATGGACCAGTATTGACAATTGCCAATATTCACCTTAGGCAAGAGCCTAGGTTTGCAGGATAGAGGAGGAATTGCCTTTTCAGTCATTGAGTCTTTATGATGTTTCCTCCTGGGAATGATACGGGTACCAGAGTTGTTCCAGGTTTTCAGGATAAGGTAGGGATTCTCCTCTCCCAAGCAGGTACGTATTCTGAGCCACTTTTAAGGATATATGGAGATCTAGTTCAGCCTCTTTTTGTTCCGTCCTTGGTCAGGCAGTAACCTTACTAGGAACTACTCAGGCTTCTAGCAGTCAAGAAAAGATAATAAGAAATGAGTTGCTGTTTCCTTTTTATTGTCTCTGACCTGTATGTGGTTTGGTCACTTGACCTTGCCAAAGTCTTGGTAATGTATTTTATCTGTGTTTCCTGAAGAATTCCTAAAGATCTTAATTAGCACATATTCTAGGAACTCTATAATGAGACTGGAGTTTTACATGAAACATTAATTTTGGGAAGAACCTACATATTAAAAGGAGCCATGGAAGCTGCTGATGTTTAAGTAGTAAACCCTTCGCTCTTCAGGGGCTGATCATGATGCGTGTGCTTTGTTGTGCATGTTATTTTCTCTGCCTTTGCTACCACCCATGAAAGACAGGCAGTGGCCAGGTTTCCCTGAAATACTCCAAAAGCTTGGGGGAAGAGGAGGACATGAATGACTGGTCTGAAAGTTGGAATGACACATGGAGCAGAGCACTGTCATGAGTCACTGAGAGGGACACGTGTAGCATGAGACTGTGTCTCACCCAGAAAGTTTGGTGGGAGTCACTGTTCCTGAGGTGCAACCATTGCAGTCTAACATAATAGCTCAAAATAATTTCAGGGGGTTTACAGACTGAATCAGTTTCCTATATGGGAGAAAGACTCCAGACATGAATGCATATGCTGTGACTGAGAAGATAAAGAGAAACCAGAAGATGAATTGGTGGGAAATGGAATTTGTTTCCTAATCATGGCAATCTGATGTAAAGGAAAAGAGAGAAAAGTGATATTGCTCTTGGGCTGAATTACACTATAGCATGTCTGTGGCAACAGGTATCTCAGGCCAAAAAACTGTCTATATTGAGACTCTGTTTGCATTGTATTTTCCTTTTTTTTTTTTTTTTTTTTTTTTGTGGTGTTATGGATTGAGCCCAGGGCCTTGTGCTGGTGGGGAAGCTCTCTGCTGAGAATCCCTGGTTTGTGGTCTGGTCTGTTTGGGCTGAATGACCCGGGGAAAAACTAAATCCCTCTATGCTTTTGTTCCTCTGGCCCCTCCTCCCTAGAATTTTATATTGCAGAGAAAGCAGCAATATCCTAAGTGTGTAAACCATTGCACTGTGGTTAGTGTGTAACAGGGAGATGATGATAGGTGAGGAATGCAAGTGCATGTGAGCTCTTCCTTAGATCTCCAGTGAACACTGTAGTAAAGCTTTCCTTAGTGGGTTTCCGTGTAGGCTTGAACTGAAAGCACACACACCTTTCTGAACATTCACGAGGTTCCTGAGATACACTTCCACGTCTCACTTGGTGTTCATTAGACCATGAAAGTCAGCGTGTTTTCAGTTTTCAGAGGTTCAACTTTGTGTTTAAGGGAAAAATGAAAAACCAAAAATAGATCTTGCTAAGAATCTGTATAACTACTTTGAACATTTTACTGTCGCCCTCATCCTGTTTGGATAGTTTTTTCCTTGTTATTGCTTTGTTAGGATGACTGAATTACACAAATGACACTCTGTAACTCTCCTCCTGTAGCTGAATCATGCAGAGAGAAGACTTAGTCAGTTGGAAAACTGTCACTGTGAGAAGATCTGTCAAGTGAGTGGATTGCTCTATCGGGACCAAGACTCTTGGGTTGATGGTGATCACTGTAGGAACTGCACATGCAAAGTAAGTACCTTTGAAAATGAATAAGATAAAACCAGTTTTAAGGGGACAGGCATTCTAATTATAGCATAATTGAGTTCGTTAATATACAATGTCAGCTCCTTTCAATGTTCCATCTGTTAGCAATTCAAGCAATTATGAATGCTGAAAAATTGTCGTTTTTTTATCAGAATTCTTGGGAGTTAAATCTGGTTTTTCTCACTACACTGTGATTTGATCCTATAATATTAGTAAGAAGCTTCCTGTTTGGAATTTAGAAGTTGAGGTATAGAGGGGAAGAGACTCTTCCATCCTCATTGTTAACTTTATCACAACTTTTTTTCAGAATGCATTTTCTTTTTTTTTGTCTTTTTCGTTTTTATCGGTACCAGGGATGGAACTCAGGACTGCCTGCTTGCAAGGCAGGCGCTTATGCCACTGAGCTAAATCCCCAGCCCCTAGAATGCATTTTCTAGAACGCATTTTTAAACAGGATTTAATTAGTCTCGGTGGGTTTTTGTTGTGTTTTGCACGGTATCTGTCATTTGTCTCAGAGAACTGCAGGATGTTTTCCTCCTTCCCTGGTGTCCATCATTTGTGTTCTCCACCTATTTCAGACAGTTACGAGAGCTCCCTCTAAAATTAGCATTTGTCCAGTTAGAATTACTTGATAAATATCTGAAGACTGCTATTGTTTGTCCAGGAAAATACAAAATGGATTGTTAGAGCCTCAGAAATGATTGACAGGGTCTGCAAAAGGTGTTATTCATGTTGGTGTTAAAATAGGCTTTTTGTTTTCTGCCTAACCTGCTTAGTCCACATGGGCAGGTGAGATGAAGTCAGTGATGTATATCAGAAAAGTAATTGAGGTGACACAGGTTCTTTAGGCTTACAGAGATGTTTTATTTGTGGTCCTGGAGTGGAGTGGGTGCTCCTCACACTCTTCTCTTTCCCTGGTGTGGTTTGGGGGTGAGATTGGAGCTCTCTCTGCAGCAGGAGTGTTTAAAGCCTGCCTCTGAGAGGCCTTTTGTCCTTCCTTCCTCAGAGCGGTGTTGTGGAGTGCCGGAGGATGTCCTGTCCCCCTCCCAACTGCTCCCCCGATGCCCTACCCGTGCACATCGCTGGTCAGTGCTGTAAGGTCTGCAGACGTAAGTCCTAGCCGGGGTTCAGTGTGGGAAGCTCAGTGTTTTCAGACATTTTTTCTGCATTTCAGGTCCCAATCCACTGCCTGTGGAACAATGTACTTGCTGTTGATGTAATGTCAAGTGTATAATGAGAAGCACGGTGATATTTTAATCACTTGTGCTGTGGCAAATACTTTAGATGGCTTTGTATTTTCATCAGAGGTTCCTTGCATGAACCTTCATTACTATTCTCTCTTTCTGTATGGAGATGGCTTGTGCTCACAGGGATCCAGGCACTCGTGCAGGGTCACTCAATGGGGTGGGTGTAATCACTAAACAACTCCAGGGTTCCCTGTGCCTTGCCTCCCTATTTTGAACAGTCAAGTGAAGGGGAAAGTTCTGCTTTGTATTTTGAGGTTCTGGCTAGATTCTCTTGGTAGGGAGGGGTCTTAGCTGGACATTTTGGGATGAAGTTCAAGGTGCATCTTATATGAATGGGCATGTGTTTGCATCCTATTTTTAAATCTGCTTTGACAATCTGGATTGTTTTGTTTCCTTTGGGTCATTTCACCCATTCATGTTTAATGTTATTAGATATGGTTAAAGCCACTCTTTATTGTGTACCATGTCTTCCCTTGGTTCAACTCCTTGCTGTTACTGTCGCTTTTCTGTCACTCAGACTCAATCCCTGAGACCCATGACTTAAAGGAAGAGAGGTTTGATTTGTCTGATGTTTTTGGTCCATGGTAAGGTGGTTCTCATACAGAACAAGATGGCAGAGGGGCTTGGTGGAGGAAAAGGTACTGAAGCTATGGTGGCCTGGAAGAGAGGGAGAGAGAGGGAGTCAGAGTCCTCAGAGGCATGCCCCATGAGCACACCTCTCCCCAGGCCTGACTCCTCATAGCACAGTTCGCTCATTCATTGATCTGTCCAGTTGTTAATATAGCATGGCTGTCATCTGATCGCTTTCCAAAGCCCCATTGTCTGTACTCATGAGAGTCTGAGGGGACTCCATTTGCCTTGAGTTTTTCCATTTTCCTCGAGAACTGCCTTAAGGAAATATATGTGAACAGTGTTTTTCTCTTCTGTGCGTTTCCTGAGTTTGGTTTGGGTGAGGCCATATTCTAGGGACTACAATGAAAGGTGCTGATATAACTCAGATAACAGGAGCCAATCTATGAAAGCGGATTGCTTTGTCTGCTGACTTCCTTTGTCTTCGTTTGTTAGGAACAGTCTCAGGAGCTGGAGCACTTGCAGATGAGGGCTTCTGTTTGGAACCAGAAAAGAACTTTGAGCATCCATGGTTGTCTAGGAAGTGACTGTCCTGTTCCACTCCTATCTATTTGTTGATATCTGCTCTCGCCAAGGCATACTGAGAATGCCTCACATTAAACATCCCTTGGTGAGCTTCATAAATTGTGGGTTTTCAGAACCCTCCTTAGACCTGCTGAATCAGAGTCTGCAGGCAGCAGTCTACTGAAAGCTGTATTGATTTGGAGTCTGTATTTCAGATCTGCTAGAGATGAGAGGGAGGAGGAAGAAGGAATCTTTCAGCTATGCGACACCATATTTGTGAAGGAAAAACAGTAGTGCAGTGAAAGGGAGACTGTTTGCCTGATGGTGTTTATGGGAGTGAAGCAGAAATTAAGCTGCCAGTGTGAGTCGGACGTGAATGATGAAGAGTCAATCCTATTGATGACACTCCTTGCTGAGATCGCTTGTCCGAAACACTGCCCTCAACTCTGGATGAAACAGTGCTGATGGGTCAGTCTTCCATTTTACATCAGGACTGAACTAAGTCATTTTCTATGTATTCATTCACGTAATTCTCTAAATAAGCCCAAGTGGTAGTCCTCACTATTAGTACCATCGTATAGGGGAGAGAGAAGAGCCCAGGCTCTCAGCGCTGGTAACCCGGACAATCCAGCTGCCATCTGGCTGATGCTCTTAATCTATCTATTCTACTTACTGCCTGCATCATCTCTGTCACCTTAAAAAATGGCAGAGAAGGAAACCGGTAACTTCATCAGAAACTTGTGTATGAGGAGAGTGGGGTAAACTTCAAGGATAGCAGCTCAGGAAAGTATCAGAAAGTAAGTGGGAATCTGCTAGGTAAACAAGGTAAAACACACCTGCTGGAGGGAATCACACATGCAAAATCCTGGAAATAGCACAGAATTGGATTTGATACTTAAGAGCAAGGTTTTATAGCAGGGCTTTGGCCTCCTAAAAAAAGTGCTTTCAGAAAGACCACCACATCAAGAGAGCTGGGGACTGGGGGTGGGGTGGGGTTGAATTTGGGTACATTGCAGGCAGAGGTGAAGAGGCTGGAAGGCAGGCAGTCTGGGGAGGTGCAAAGGAAGAGAGGAATGTGAGTGACAGCTGAAGGACCTGGCACACAGTAGCACTGTTTTGCATGAGCATCTGTGAGGCAAAGATTGCCAGGTTTTGAACAAGATCCTGTGGGAGACTCATGGTGTGATTAACAGAAACAAAGCAGGAGAGGAAATAGATTGGGGACTGGTACACTTTATGTGGCACATTTGCACTGAGGTGGCAGAGGGACAACCAGTTTGATGTGAGTGTCTTTCTCAGAGGGGTCGTGTTTGAAGCCTGAGCTTTGAATTAGCTGCCCAGGAGGAAGAATCCCTGGGTGCTCAGCTCCTCTGATCTGCCACTCTCCTTTAAAGTGTGAAGCAGGGGCCTGAATTTGATGTTCTACACTGCTGAGTGCTGAGGGATGGCTGGAGTGTGTTTCTGGTGTGCAAGCAATGGAAACTGAGTCAGAATGAGGCTCATCATGGTGGGGGTCCAGGAGGGTGCCCTACAGTATTCTCATGCTGTTCTTCAAACAAAGAGATCTGCATTGCTTGGAGGCTGAGAATCTGCCTTGGGGGAGTCTATTGGAGTTGGATGGTACCTCAGAGATGATGTGGTTACATCACATGACTAGCTGATCTATTTTTCTGTTTTATTACAGCAAAATGCATCTATGGCGGGAAAGTTCTTGCAGAAGGCCAGCGGATCTTAACTAAGATCTGTCAGGAATGCCGAGTAAGTTCTAATCTCACGATCCCATTGCGAGGAAATAGTTGGGAGAATGGTGTGGGCTTTTGCTAGGTTCTTGAATGGGGCATCTTGGCCGGGATGGGTTGCTGAGGGGCAGAACCCTCTAGATGCTGGGATGGGGTAGAGCACGGGGTGGGCACAACCTCCATTAGGGTGTGATCAGCAGAGGTCAGCTGAGGATCAGGTAGCCTGGGAAGAAACCAGTAAAGGGAAAGTGGCTGAGGAGACTGAGCAAGGCGAAGAGCAGTAGGAGGTGACACTGTAGGGATGGCTTGGGGCCAGAACATTTAAAGGCTTTTAAGACAGGGTTCAACAAGAACCGTGGGAGCAATGAAACCCAAAATGTGTAATAGTCACTGTACAAAAGAGAGGAAAAGAAAGTGCTCTAAACTATATAACTGCATGTATATTTAAATGTATAAGATAGAAAATGATATCACAGAGTTTTATTGGATCATTGAACAGAACTGTTTGTAGTATCATTGTTGGAATGTCCACTCTACAAGCTTTAATTTTGTGACTGGAATAATTATTTCTAAGATGACAATATGTAATCCATTAACTAGTGATTTCCTACTGCGCATTTTTTTTATTCTGTAAATCTGTATAACTTGTACCCCTTCACTGTTTTTTTTTCTTTCTTTTCTTTTCTCCTTAAATAAAAATTAAAAAAAAAAAAAAAAAAGACAGGGTTTCAAAGGTCCTGTCGTTTGACTTTCCTGTTTATGTAAATCCCTATCCATCATGGCAATTCAATTTGTACTCTCCTTTATCTCTTATTCTATTCAACAAATATTTATGATCTTCTACAATCTTCCAGGTGCTATTCAAGTAACTGTGTTAGCATTTCATTAAGTGCTTTTGGAGCACCTATTGTGTACCAGGCACAGCGCAGGACAGGAATTAAAAATAAGACTTTATGGTTCCCTGGAGATGCTGATATGCACTGAAGTCAGGAGGCAGGGAAACTAAGCGTAGTGCAGGCTGGTGAACCTGGGGCCATTGGTCAGTTCTTTGTATTAAGTGATAGCACTGGTTAGGGCACCTTGACTCAGTGTGAGGGGGCCAAGCAGTGCTTCTTGAAGGTGGTGGTTGTTCTTCACCAGAAATTACTTCCCAGGTGGATGAGAGTGAAGGCATATTCCAAGCAAAATGAATAGCACTCACAAATGCCCCAAAATAGAACCTAAGAATGGGAGAGAAAAACTAAATGTGTTAGGTCCAGTAGGGCCTCTTCAGCCTTCTTAAGGAGTGCAAATAATGGGCTCATTACTTTTAAACTGAGTACAGATTCTAGTAAGGCCCACAAACAGGACCTCAGATGAAGTGAGGTCGTGAGGATTCAGCTGCCGAATATTTAACCTTTCATGTAAGCGATTTTATTTATATCTGGGGAAAACCTAGCGCTCATCTACCTGACCCTCTTTTATCTCCTTCACACCTGGACACTGTGGCTCCTGTCTGTGTCCTCTGCCTGAGTTCTGTGTGTTCCTTTTTCCTTTATTCAGTTTCCATACATGTGGCATCTCTGCAGTTTTTTCCCCATCTGGGTAGAATTAATTACGCCCCAGTCACACCATCTAATGCTTTTATCAGAGCACATCATTTTCGGACTTGCTAGATTATATTATGGTTTATAGTTTAAGAAGTTTTTGTCTCCTTCCACCCAGACTGTGAGCTTGTTAAGAACAAGGAGGAGGTGTCTGAGTGTGGTGGCACATGCCCGTCATCCCAGCACTCGGGAGGCTGAGGCAGCAGGATTGCCACAGGTTCCAGGCCAGCCTGGGCTGCATAGTGAGTTCAAGTGCAGCCTGAACTACATAGCCAGACCCTGTCTCAAGAACACCAAAAATAAGAAAAAATAAAACAGGAAGACGTTTTGTTCCTCTTTGAGTTTGCAATGCCTGGTACCCAGAAGTGTGCTGGATTTGGTGCACATAAAAATGGCACAGAGCTCTCTGACTCTGCTTTCACTGATGTCATCATGCCAGTAGCTCAGAATCCACCATGGTTAGGATATCAACGGCAGAAATCAGTACACTTTACAAAGAAAGCCTCCCCTTCTCAGGTTAGTTGTTAAAATTTATCATCTAACATTGTCAACATCCTTCCTCACTATAGAAGATATGAAGACACCTGGGATTGGGCTCAGGGGACATAGCAAAGGGAATTTGCCTTCTTTCCAGCAGTGTCACCATTTCATTTGCAATGTTATTATTAGTGGAATAGCTCAGAGTGCTGATACTTATTGTAGGTTGTTATCACTGGACACTATTAACAGTGAGAATTATTAGTTGGTACCAGTGACTAACCACATGAACATCTTTTTTGTTTTCCTGATATCTGACGTCCAGGGTGGAGTTTTAGTGAAAATTACGGAAACGTGTCCTACTTTGAACTGCTCAAAGAATGACCACATTCTTCCAGAGAATCAGTGCTGCAGAGTCTGTCGAGGTAAGTGGGCTTGATGGAATGTGGAGGTCTGTGCTTGTGATAGGACCTTGTGTGTGTGCGTGTATGTGTGTGTATGTTTAATGAATAGTGTGATGGGAAAAAAGCACACACTGCAGGCTCTGCTCTGATGCTTAGAAATTTGTATTTCTTGTTTATTTTTCTCAGACATAGTCTCTACATTTGCAAAATGAGAGAGTGTCTGCTTCTTAAGAGTGCTGTGAAGATTAAACAGGACAAGGCATAAGCACCTAGCCTAACACCCAGCACATGTGATGTGCTCAATAAACAATTGCTATTAAAATAATGCTAATGATAGTTCCTATAATAATAATCATCCCCTCATGATTACATTTTCCTCATGAGTAGGTTGAGGAGTTATCATTTCAGCATGGTTCATGGACCAATTCCCATATCTCATAGAAAATATAACTCACAGTGAATCCTTATTCATGAAATTGATTTCTGTGCACTTTGTTTTACTTCTTTGAATGAAAACAGACTGAATTTAGAACACTGATTGCTAATTAATTCTTGGGTATAAATTGTTTTCTCCCTCTTCCTAGAATTATCTTTTCCTCCAAATACATTCTTATTTCTTCTGCTCACATGTTTTTTCCTCTCTCTTAAATTCTTACCTGGGCAGATTAGATGGATAAGGAGAACCTAGAATTTATTCAGAGTCCTAAAATTGAGTCCACTTAAACTGATAGCTGTTATTTTAAAAACAGTATCTACTCCCACTATTTCACTTTCTCAAATCTCTAGTTAGATCTGTGTCGCCAGAATTTCCACCCTTCTAAAGTTAAGAAGGCTGAAGCAGCCTTGTGGTTTGTCTCAGGTGACCTCATCTTTAACATTTTTCTATCTTTTCTGTAGCACAAGAGCTGGTCATTTTAGGTTTTGTAGACCAGCAGATTTCTATTGCAATTTTAAATTCTGCTACTATGCAGGAAAGCAGCATAGATCATGGGTATATGAAGAACTGTGGCTGTGTGTCAGTAAAATTTTATTTACCAGAACAAGTGGCAGCTCCTAACTTAATGACCACTCCTTTAGCACACTTTGATATATAAAAATGTTCTGTTTTTTATCATGATGTGTTTTTATTTCAGACTGTGACTTCTGTCTATGGGTGGTCATGAAAGAGCTATGCTTTACTAAAGTTCTTAGGAAATTATGGTACCCTAAGAATCAGGGTTATGCTAACCATGGCATCGGACTCTGCCCTGATTTATCTCTTATGACTACAAGTGTATTTGCAGCTGGGACACTTTGGCAATACTTAAACATCAAATGGAATTATCAGAGGGATGCAATTATTGATAACCAATAAGGGTATCAGGTGGGCCTTATCATTTAATGCAAAATCCGTCACTTGCTGTTTGTTGAGGTGCCAAGTGGGACTCAGCTTATGCCAATCCCTTCTGACTTACGGTTTCATTAGAGCAGGATCATTGATTAGGTCACAGAAATTTAAGACGAAGTCATTGCTCTAGTGTCCCTGCTTGTGCTAGAAGTTGTTGTGCCTTTCTCTATGAATAAAGATTCTGAGAGATGTCAGACCTCACTGGAAGGCAGACTCCCATTCCCAGCACTCTAGGGGCTTTTAGCAAATTTGACTTAGCTACAGAAAAGTGAGAGCAAGGACTGACTGATGCTCCCCAGCCTTGGTCTCGGCCATTTGCGAAACTCAGGATATTTTTTCTTCTCCTTCATGTGTGTTTTCTTCCATCCCAACCAACCAGGAATTCCTTTTTTTTTTTTTTTTTTTTGTGAAGCTGTTGGTTTTCTCTGGAGATTCCGGAGGGATAAGTGAGTTTGCTGTCCTCTCTGACACCTCCACATTTTGACAGGAACTGAAATGTGCCTTCTTAGAAAAATATGGCAGAGAGGAATTTCTTGTGGGAGGTTGGGTGAATTAAAACTTTCAGGTCTATGAGTTCTCTTGTGTTTCCCTCCCATGTCAGAATTCACTGGAATGAAGGAAGAAGTATTTTTCAGTAAGGTCCTCATTAGCAACTTTTACCTCAGTTACTTCCTTCATCCATGTTGACCCATAGCAGAGAGGGTACCCAGGCTCCCTCTGCACTTCTGTGTATTGGGAAGTTAGAAAATGAGAGGCAGGTTCATATGGAAAGTCAGCATCTCTTTTATGTAAACCCTACCATTTTGGTAACAACAAAACACCAATCAGATGTGCTCAAAATACTATTGTCTTCAACTATGTCGGTGATGAATTTCAGTCCATTTCCTTCCATTCCAATCTATCTTCCAAGAGCTTCTCTGAAGGTAACATAGTAGACTCTGTAACAGAGTGGTTTCTGTGAGAAATCTTTTATCCCTCTGATTCTCATTGGCTTCTTCCCTTTTGATTCACATTCATGTCTTTTGAGTGGTTCTTACAGAGAAGGAGGGATCGAATAGTTACTATACTGCCAAGATTTGCAAAGCCCAGGGACTTTTTCCAAGATAAATTATTCAGCTTTTCTTGTCCCTTATCCTTTCCCCCTATCTAAAACAGTAAGTAATAGAAAGGTGAGAAACATCTAATTTCTATGTAAAGCAATTTTTACCCTGCACGTGGAGCAGCTGGCACTGGCCACGCATTGGCAGGGAGCAAGTAAAAAGAGAGGCAGGAGTAGGATGAGATCAAGTGCCTATTTTGGGGTGAACACTGGGATGCAGTGTGATGCAGTCCTGTGACTTTTGTCACCCTGGCTTCAGTGATTCCAGAAAGCAAAATGTCCCTGGCTCTTCCCAAACTTACACTGAAGACAATTACATATTAGCATATTACAATTACAATTAGCATATTAACCTGCCTTGCATCCATTAATCAGTTTGAAAGAAATTATCTTTTGAGAATATCATTCCTCAGAAGTCTAAGTCAAAAACTTTTTTGAGGAGTGTAACTTGTTAACTTTTTTATACAGGTAATTTTTAATGAATAACATGTGTATGTTTATAGTTTTCCAGAGTTTATTCTCAGTAGGACTTGGATGAGCCACCTCACCTGAGTGGGTTATTTCTCTGTCTCCAAGTGGCTGATGGCATAAGGCTAAAAAATCAACTTCCCACTTAATGATTATATTTATAAATCGGTTCTTTAAATGCAGGAGACAAGTAAGTGATGGAGATACCTTCTGACTGAGAGAGCATCTTTGTTGCTGTGTTTGTGGTCCTGGGGCTTCACACACATTTGGCAAGTGCTAGGCCACTGAGCTACATTCTCTGTCCTTCATGTCCTTGTCATGTCAGTGACTTAGATGGGATTTTAATTGAGTCAATATATTTTGTATATGAAATATTGTTCAAATCCTATTTTGCTCAGCTGTAACTAGTTTCCTCAGGTTATAACTTGTTAGTTTTATTATGTAGGCAATTTTTAAATGAGTAACATGTATATGTATATGTCATTACTGTCCACTTTCCACTGACTAATCCAGAAGAACTGTGCAGACTATGGTTTTACATTAACCATTTTCTTAGTGGGAGTTAAATCTGAGGGCTTTGTGTTATCAGAACTGGTATCATGACCAGAGCCTAAGAGACTTTGACTCTCCAAAGTTTGCAAATGCTGTGACATATTCCTCTTCTTTTTGACATAGATGAGGGCAACCATCAGAGCAGTCACTTACATCCACAAGGCTGTTGGTGTATCTAGGATGCCCAGGGAGAGAACTGCAGAGAGGTGTGGGCCGGCACATGCAGGGGGAGGAAAGGCAGTGGGCACTGGTGGAAGAGACCGCTTAGCCACTGCTGGGCTCAGTTCTCAGTCACTGGCAGCAGGATGTGCAGCAGCCCTCAGCATGGCCGCAGCTTCCCCAGATGTCTCAGCACACTTTGTGCTGGCAGCGTGAAATTTGTTTACCCCCCTCATTACATTGAGGAAATAGCCATAGCTGGAGTCTGCCCACTAGTAATGTGAGAACATTAGGTGGATATGAGGAGAGGGCACTGGAGTGACATCTCTGCTGCTTCCTGGAAAGAAGCAGGAAAGGCCTGAACTAGTCCCAGCAGATAAAAAGATTGCTCATGAGTTTCTGCTCCTCTCAGTTGAAGGTTGGAAAGGAAAACAACAAAATCAAAGATGATGATCACGCATCCAGGCTCCAGGAAAACACACCAATCTTGTGGCTCATTCCAAAATTTCCCAACACACTTTTCATGGCTTTGTTCCCTCCACCACCAGCTCTAATTGCATTTTCAGGGTCACTGATGACTTTGGAGGGTTTTGCTGCATGTTTATGACTTCCAATGCTGGAGAAAAATGTTCTTTTCAACATCTGTTCCAAATGTGCTTATCTGTAATTTTAATTCATGCTCACTTGTCTTGTCATCTGGCCTGGACTTAAATTACTTGGAATTATTTGTACTATTTATGATTTTATGCTCTTCCATTAAACCCTCCCAGAATCTCAGCATCCCATGATGTCCCTCCCCAGGTCTTCCCTATCATTTTAGGTGAATTTATAATTGAAATGGTTCTAGAGAGGATTTCTGGGTATTTGAGGTAAACAGAGATCTGGAAAAGAGACATTTAATGGGACTGTAAGCTGGTGTGACAGTGGAGGACCTGGCAGTGCATAGACAGGTCAGGCCCTCTGCGTGTTTATAGTTGGGGTGGGATCTGATCAAAACCCCTGAAGCATGAGCTAAAGTGGCTTGGGAAGACAGTGCCTGTGCTGAAGCTGGGAGCAGAGGGCATCTGAAGGAGAGGCTGGGCTCAGGGAACACAGCAGTTCAGTGACCCAAAAGTGACTTAATGGACTTGAATCTGGGAAGTTCCCAGAATGAAGCCCATAGTTCCAGAAAGAACTAAATCTAAAGTTAGGCTGTTCTTCCAGGTAAGAGCTCAGGTGTCTCCTAACATGTGTATTAGGTGTGGAATGCATAAAGTAATTCAGTTCTCAAAAAGGATCTTCGGGCTGTACCCTCCCAAAACAATACATGGGAAGAGAATGTCCAGGTAGGTAAAGTGCCTGACCTGGTGGTGTCAC